ATACAGTATAGATATATAACTGTCAAACAATAACTACTACATATGTTCTCCGGCCATGCTACAATACACGCCCCTATTTGGGGTGTATACAGTAGCGGAGGGAGGTAAGGCTCAGGGGGGTCACGTGTCTCCCCTGAATTTTGAGATTTTTTTTTTTTTTTTAATTTTGCAAACATAAAGAAAATATTTTAAATAAAAAAATACAAAAATATTATTAGAGTGAAATGTTAATGCATTTTAAAAATTATGAGAACAATAATGGTTGTTTTAATTGAAAATGAAGAGATTATTATAAACCGTATTATCTATGCAAACTTTTGAATGAAACAATGATGTCATTATTATTGATATGGAAGTATAAGTAATCTCACTATAAAGATATGAAATTTATTGGATTATTAGTTACATTTGACATGTGAAGTTCACTCTCTATGTGCTTATATATTATTAGTTAGTGATATTACATATCAATGATAACGCGGTATTATCATTATATAATTTATTTTAAGACTTATATCCATATTTTTTTTTTGTATTGTCCATGATACACTAGTTACAAATAACATTATTTTTTTGATGTTTCTCGAAATTGCGTGAAATATTTTTGTAACAATTTTTGATATTGTATTTAATAAGTGCCCCCTCTAATTTAATTTTCTGGCTCCGCCACTAGGTGTATATCATATGCTAGTTATGACACTGTGGTGTTGATACCACAAATGTCATAACTAATGGGTGGTTTGGGATGATTTAAATAAGTGTACTTTTTAACTTTTGACGAAATATGAGTTTGAAGTGATATTGTAGAGAGATGATGTGACTTAAGTAAAATGATGTGACTTAAATGGATAGTGACTTTTTGATTTTTGGACTTTTTTAGGGGAGGACAAACAAGGCCTAAATCACTTTCAATCATAACTAAAAAGATACAATGAGTCATAATCAAACATTATTTAAGACAACCAAAGATTTTTTTTGTTATAACTAAAATAATAATCACATAGGTTATAACCAATATTACAATAAGTCATAACCAAGTACTAACTTGAGGCATAACTAAAGATCTCTTCTATCATAATCAAAATAAAAAAAGTCATAACCAAATCATAATTAATACATTAAAAAGTCGTAGTCATGCTATAACTAACAACACAATGAATCAAAACCAAATATTACAAAAGTTATAACTGGGCATATGGTACATAACCTAAAAATAGGTGTGTATTATAAAAATTTTTTTAATTGATTATCACTTAATACATCTATAATTAAGTAAAGTGTTGATTGGGAAGTTTGTCTTCCTGGTTAAAAAAGCTAAAAAATTACTAAAACAAAAGATGCAACTAAAATGTCAAAAAAATACTTTCTCATTTGGCAAGTTGTGATTTAACCTAAAAAGTAAAAAGTCACTAAAGAAAATAAATAAGTCAACAAATACCAAAAAAAAAAGATCAAAAAGTCACAAAAAAAAAAAAAAACAAAAAAAAAAGTATGTTCTCAAAAATCAAGAAGTCACTAAAAAAAATAAGTCATACACAAGAAATTTATGTTTTTTCATACAACTAAAAAAGTTATTTTCAAATCAATAACACTTGGGAGCCTCCCCAATTTATCCAAAAATTTACCAACTGCCACATGGCAACTCACTACGGAAGCAGTTTTTATTTAAAAGGAAAAATATATATATACAATAACCTAGCTTTAACATAATTGGGGAGTTGATAAATTTTGAGTTAATTAGGAAGACTTCCTAAACTTATTGTTTTTCAATACAGTAGTATTACGTACACTAATTTGTATACCAATTAGGGAGTGTTTGTTTTGAAATGATTGGGCAGAGGATTGGACTAATAGTCCGTTATTTGTTTCAAAAGTTTTGATCCGGACAATTAGTCTCATATTTGTGGGACTATGGTATCCCATGGGGGAGTGGGATAGAAACCATGGGATAACTCATCACATGGGATTAGCTAATAAAATTACATTTTTGCCATCTGGTATTTAATTATATATTATATTTAGTAAAATTTAATAAAATTTAAATGTCTCAATTTAAAAATAAAATAATTTAATTTATTTTTTATTTTTTTTTATTTATTTAATTTTTAAAATAATTTTTTATAAATATTTTATTGATGTTTTATTTTAAAATTTTGTTTATATTTTACTTAATTTCATTGTTTAAATTTTAATAGATGTTTTATTTTATTTCATTATTTAATTATTATTATTATTTAAAATAAATTTATTTAAAATTTTAATTAAAAAATAACATATATTTTTATTGATATTTAATTTATTTAATTTTTAAAAAATAAATTTATTTAATTGTACAAAAAATAAAATAAAATAAATTTTTAAATAATTGAAAATGATAAAATAATCCATTTATCCTTCTCCATAATATCCCAAACAAACATTGGATTTACTAAAAATAGCCCAATCTAGACATCTAATCCCATAACTGAACAAACATAGGATACAAATACAGTCCAACCAAATAGTCTGGGGACAATATATCCCAGGACTAATAGTCCGATGGAATACAATCCCTCATTATCCAGTCCGTCCAAACAAACACACCTAATCCACCCCTATCCAGTCCGTCCAAACAAACACACCCTTATCAATATATATTATGACTATCACTTCACAACTATGGACCCACCCATTATACAAATTACAAAGATCTAAAATTTCTAAAATTATATCACATCATCTGTTAATACACTAATTAGTATACCAATTAATACATATAACTCTTTCATTTCCCATATATTAGTAATTTTTATTACCTCATAAAAAAGATCACTAAAAAAAGCCCAACCTCAAACCACCCCTGAATTGAATTGGATTATTAATCACCACCTGCCGCTTAAACGTAAAAACTCAAATTTAAAAGTCAAGTCTACCGTGACCATGACAATTTTCCCAACAATTCTAGAAATCTCTAATTACATGTAGGTAGGTAAGTTGATGTGAAGGGTTTACTCTTTACATACCACGTTGCAGATAGATTTTCAAACACAAAACGGAGGGGCTAATCGAACAAGAAAAATAAAATGGAAAGCAGTATGGGTTTCGATCACTATGCATGTGATTGCAATCACCTTTTACAGTGGAATTTGCATTGCAAGATGATGTTTAGAAAATGTTGACAGAGAGGTTGCAGTCAGAGGGAAGAAGTGGCCCTTCTTCACTGTTTCTCTTTCAATGAAAAGGAAGGGAGAGTAGTAAGTATATTTTAATGATTTGACGCACCTGACTTGGTTTTCTAGCAGCTTGGGTCAGATGAATTTATCATCTATGTAGACACAAGGAATGTGAGAAATGAAGCGCCAATATCGGCCTTTCCCCTTTTGACACCGTTGTTTTAGTTTCGGACATCCTTTGATTATCAACCGCAAAAGCGAGGGAGGCAGCCCTTGCTCCGGAAACGATGCAAATTTAGGGCAACCCTGGATCCAGAGAAAACAAAGCGAGGGAGGCAGCCCTTCCTTTGGCAAAGAAGTGAGCTTACGGCAATCATAGATGTGAAGTTTTTCAAGAGAGATGCGGTCTTGAAAGTCCTTGAAAGATAGCCTCTCTAGATTTGAAAAATACTGGAAGGACAGGTTGATCAGAGAGAGAGGTGAGCAATAACATTCCATCTTATGAAAACTCCCAACGGTAATCTTTCGTACCAATAAGATCGAGTTTTCTAAGAGAGGGCAATCTCTGCAAACTCCACTTTGATGGGGGCTTACCGATCATGATCGTGTCGATGACAAGTGAATGGACGTTCGTGAGAGAACTCCAGTTGGAGACAATTCCTGCAGGGCATCCACATACTTTCAGCTCTTGAAGAGAACTGAGGTTGTATGGTCGGGCCTTGAGCTTTCCGCAGTTGTAGATAAAAAAGTCTCTCAGATTCAACGTGGCGAACGGGAACCAACCTTCCGGAAGGGACTCCATGTTTTCACAACCTTTTGTGTCCACTAGGCTGAGATTTTTGAATTCATTATTGTTGTTGCTATGCATGGTGTCGGGCAAGGATTTGAGGTTCTTACAAGCATTAATTCGAATCGATTTAAGAGACGGACAACTAATTTTCATACCGCCCTCTGCTAGTAGTGACTCCATCTTCGATAGATGAGCAATATCAAGTTCTTCAAGTGCAGCAAGTAGCCCACCTCTGGACGATAAGTAGGTGAGCAATGGACAATTTTGAACCTTCATTTTCTGAAGACATTTCAGGGCATGCAGTCCCCCTGGCAGCTTCTCCAGCTTTTCACAATTTTCAATTCCCAGATACATAAGTCCCATTAAGTAAGGCGACCCCTCTTGCTCCTGCAGCTGTCGCTGCAACTGTGGACTATCTTCTTCTTCTTCTTCTTCGAACAAGGAAATAAGTTGAGGGCAGTTTTCAATATCCAAATGTCGCAAGGCAGGGGCAGGGAGTTTGTGCTGTAGTCTGACCTCATTCTGCCACAATGTTGTGAGTTCTTCACAATTATGAATCCTCAATTCTTCGAGTCCCGTAAACCTATGAAAGAACCATCTAGGCAGGCATGTGAGTTTCTGAATATTTTCTATTCTCATATCAGTCACTGAGCTCAAATGTTTACACACTGCAGTTGCTAATACTTCATCGCCTACCTATTGATTAGGAATGGAGTCCAAAATTGAAACATCACTGAGAGATAAGGAGACTGAACTGAAGTGGAGGGTATTCCTCTTTTGGTGGACCATTGTAGGGCTCGGAAGCCATTCAACCACCAACTGTGGGCAATTCTCAATCTCAAGCTTTCTTAAGCAAGGAAGACTGTCGGGCAATTTACCCAAAAGCTTGGGATAACGTTGAATGGAGAGCTCTGAGAGGTGAGCAAATGCTTGAACTTCCTCATCAACTTCAAAAGGAGACCAATCCTCCCATTCTGGCGTATCCCAAAAGTGTAAAGTCTCTAGAGCTGGAAAAGGGTTCGAGCAACCCCAACCACCCCCAACATTCTCTACTCTTTTCATTCCTCGAAAAGTTTTGCAAGTGAGGGTAATTGCCCCAGAGGTGGTAAGCAAGTGCATTTTTCACAATTTTTCAACACTAACTTCACCATATTAGAAACCTGAGGATCTCCAACCCAAGTTGGAAATATTGGACCATAGCAACCACTGATGGAAAGTACTTTAACCTTCTTGTCCGGTTGTAGCATGTCAAGCACTTCTAATTCAACCTTTTCATTTCGTGAATCTTCTGAATTAGTGTTACTCCATTCCATCAATAACTCATTTAAGCCCTGCTTCTCATATAACTTAGGGGCCTTTGCATCCACAACATCCACCACATTATCCAATCCGGATATGCAAAGTGCCCCTCTAAGATGAATTGAGTTCCCCAACTCTCTTATCATAAACCCATTTCCTTTGCTAACAATGTAGTTTGATAATGTTTGGAGACTTGTTAACTGACCCATTTTTGGTGGCATTTCTTGTAAGGAATTTGCACCAGTAACGTCGAGATGACGCAAGTTAATTAGGTTTCCTGTGCCTGAAGGCAACTTCTCCATATGTATGCAATATCTTAATAGGAGTGTTTGTAGATTGTATAGAGTACACAGTGATTCAGGTAATGAGCAAAGCAGGGCATGAGAAAGATTAAGATACCTCAAATGCTTTAAATGTCCAATCGAACTTGGCAGTTCACCTATTTTATATCCGCAAAAACTAAGCACGCGTAAACGTCTAAGCTTTGGCAACAAATCATGGGGAACATTGCTGGTCAAATAAGCTTGTCCATGATATGCTCCAGATGGTACAAGGGTACGTAAATGCTTGGCATCATAAAAGGCCTCAAACTTTTTGATGCCATCATATTTGTCCCGCTTGTATGATGAATGGCAAGCCTCACTGAGATTTTTGTACTGCTCGTTAACTTTCGACTTATCCTCCAGTCTAAAACAAATTTTTCCTGCAACAAACTGAGCCAGATCATTGATGAGGTCATGCATCACAAATTTTGAGCTTTCACCACTAGTTGATGGTTGAAAAAATGACCTAGACAACAATTCCCGAAAGTACTCGTGCCCGAGATCTTCCATTTGCTTCGCCTTCAGCCATCCACAATAAAACTAGAGTCATTTCAGTAAACCTGGAATTTTTGGGCAGTATTGAACAGTATGCAAAACACTTCTTCAAATGTGAAGGGAGGTGATGGTAACTTAACCTCAAAGCCGGAAGAATGTCACTTTCTTGATCTGATAACTCCCACATCTTACTATTCAATACATCTTCCCATTCATTGTCTCTTAGTTTACAACGTAAAAGGCCACCAAGTGTTCTAGCAGCCAAAGGCAAGCCTCCACATTTCTCAACTATTTTCCTACCAATTGAAACCAAATTCGGGCTTGCCTCCATAATTGTGTTCTCAAATGCATTTTGTGCTAACACCAACCAACATCATCCATTGATAATTGCTTCAAGTGATGATATTTCACAGTTCCTAGCATCAACGCAACATCTGTGTTACGTGTTGTTACCATGACTTTACTTCCTTGGGCTTCATCGTTGAAAGGACTCTTCAAACTGCTCCAATCACTGTGTTTTTTGTTCCAAAAATCATCTAAAACAATCAAGAACTTTTTCCCATCCAAAATCTGCTTTAGTTGAACTTGGACTTGACCCAAGGTATCAAAATTGCAAGTCGGGGAAGTGACGAACTCCAAAATTGCTTTTGTAACTCACATAATATCGAAATCTTCAGAGACACAAACCCATGCTTTTATTTCAAAGTGCTTCCCGACCATGTCATCGTTGTATACCATCCGAGCAAGGGTGGTCTTGCCAATCCCACCCATACCCACAATCGGAACTACACCAATATTGCAATTGCTCAACTCCTCAACACCTAGTAAGAGCAACTCAATTATCTTCTTTTTATCCTCATCCCTGCCATATACACTAGGTTCATTCATCAAACATGTGGTGGGTGGTCTTTGCCAAGCTTTAGCAGATGTCCCTGCATTACTACTACTACTACCCACCTTTTGCACGCCGAGCACAGTTCTACGTTCCAAAAGATCTTGGAATAGGGTAGTGATCTCATCTAATTTGACAATCTTGGTTGGAATTAGTGCACGTACCTTGGTGGTGATCATGGACTTAGGTCGCAAAGCTTCGGTGGAGAACTCGTCGAGTATGTCATCGACGTCATAAGCCAAGTCCTGAAGATCTTCAAGCCAAATCTTAATACCTCTTTCGGTGACTTGCTTCTCATCAGCATCAACGAGAACTGCCTCAATTTCTTCCAAAGTTGTGCTCCATTTCGTCAACAGAGTACGAATTCGCCGCTCTCCACCGAAGCCGCGCGCAAAGTTCGACAGTTCGCCGGAGGCTAAAGTGGCCAACTTCTCAAATAGAAACTTGATTGAAGCGGCGATTAAGAGCTCTCCGATAGCCATTGATTCCTGAATTTGTAAGAAGGAAGAAGCACTAGAAATGGATTGAACTGAACTGAACTGATTTCAGAGTTTAACCAAGTTGGAGGGTGGTTGTAGTTACGGATTCAATTGAGAGACTCCACACAACCAGAACACAAGAAATGGGAAAAGAGAATGCAGTAATGCATCAGACCAGACATGTATGGAGAGAGAGAGAGAGAGAGAGAGAGAGAAGTCAATAATGTAAAAAAGCACACGGGGAATGGAAAGGAAACTGTTGAGAAAAAACACTGAGAGGGCACCCTGCAAAATCACACGGTATTCGTGAACAGTTTTGTTGATTTACAGCCTTATCTATACACCTTCCGTGGTAAAAATTGCCAAGACAAATTTATGGCTATCTCTATTTACCCACATCTTTTACCTTAAAATATAGGGTTCTATTTAAGTGTGCAACTCTCCTAAGGTTGCACACCATATGCAACCCAATTATTAATCGTTAGATTACAATAATTGATCAAGACAATTGAATTGTTTAATCGTGAAAAAGTTGAAACCGGGGTAATCGGTTAATGCTCATATTTGCATGATTGCGTCCTACTCACTCTCTGTATTTCATCTCTATCTCTCTCTGTTCTCCTCTCTGTGTAAGGTTGAGTCAGTGTACCCCTTGATTTCCATTAACAACGAGAAGCCCCTGCTGGGTTGGTTCCATTGACGAAGCTCTGTAGGGAACAGTATAACAGACGATTTCCAACAACAACGGAACTACAAGGCTGTGTTGGTTCCATTGCTGAAGTGAAGCCCTTCTCTCCAACTAGATATGAGGTATGGAGCTGTCTCCCTCTCTCTGTCTCCCTTTCTGTCTCTCTGGCCTCTTCACTTCAGCTATTTTCCCTCAACTAAACCCCCATCCTAACTTCAACCGCTCTACGCTTCGCTCAAACGGAAACCCCTCCATTGGCAACTAACCTTTCTCTTTCTCAAGCGAGTGTTTGTGTTTGCACAAATAACTAAACCGTGTGAAAATATCATGTTTGTGTTTGTGTTAACATTTTTCGGTTATCAAGTAATTGTTTGTACTAATGTCATGTGCAGTATGGCCCCAGCGGAAGTTAAAAGGGAATGTGATGATTATGACATTCCAAATGAAGCAGATGACATTCGTTTGATGAATGAAAGTCGGGTAGAATCTTATCATGGTTGCGAAGCTGGTCCGAGCAATGAAGAAGCAACCAACATGAACGTTGAAGATGGCGGAGCCGATGCTCAAAAAGAAATGGTTGACGATGCTCATTGCAATGACATGGTTGGTGATGTTGAACGTGTTAGTCTGGAACAGAAATTTGATTCGGTTGAAGATGGAGAAGCTTTCTACAATGAGTATGCTAAAGCCAAGGGATTTAGTATACGAAATTCCAGATTTAACACAAATAAAGAGAGAAAGGTCGTTAGTAGGCTGTGGTTGTGTTCAAGGGAAGGTCAGAGATTACCAAAATACTTGGACTGTGTTGCTGAGAAGAGTAGAGCTCCCAAGGCACTAACAAGAGTAGGTTGCAAAGCCCAATTTCGCATACGGTACGATGCAAATGCTGGTGAAGGGGGAAAGTATGTTGTGACTCAGTTCGTCGCAGACCACAACCATGAATTGGCAGAACAACACTGTGTGATGTACCTGAGGTCACATCGCAGTTTAAATAGCGCTGACAAAGTTCAAGCAATGGTTATGCGCAACGTCAGTATGAAGACTAGCCAAATCATGGACTATATGGTAAATCAATCTGGGTCTTATGAGAATGTTGGTTTCATCCGTACGGATCTACACAACCATATTCAAGCCGAACGTAGAGCAGAAGTTGAGGATGGTGATGCGCAGGGTGCGTTGGTTTACCTATGTGCAAAACTTGATGTTAATGCACGTTTTTTTTACAAGTATGATGTGTGTAACGATAACAAGTTGCAAAATCTGTTCTGGGCAGATTCGAAATCGCGGGCCGACTATGCAAAGTTTGGTGATGTGTTGATATTTGACTCAACTTACAGAACCAATGCATACAAGAAACCTTTTGTCATATTGGCTAGTGTGACTAGCCACTTTAGGACCACGATATTTGCATGTGTTTTGCTAGCTAATGAGACAACTGAGACATACACATGAATTTTGGAAACATTTATGGAGGCGATGGACAATAAAACACCTGTGTCCGTACTGACAGATGGGGATAAGGCGATGTGAGAGGCAATTAGAAGAGTATTTCCAGATGCAAGACATTGATTACGTAATTGGCATCTTGGGAAAAATGCTGTTTCAAATATTCACATAAGTGGCTTTGCACATGCTTTCAAGCAGTGCATGGACATGGAAATGGATGAGACAAAGTTTGAGCATGGCTGGACGACAATGGTCGAAGAATTTGGACTTCAAACCAACAGTTGAGTGTTGGAGACATATGAGAAGCGTCATATGTGGGCTGAGGCATATATGCGTGGACATTTCTTTGCTGGGATGAAGAGCACTCAGCGCTCGGAGAGTATGAATGCTTATTTCAATCCCTTCCTCCAACACAAATTGAAGCTATATGAATTTGTTAGGCACTATGATCGGGCTCTTGCAAGGATAAGGTATAACGAGGCTGGAGATGATGCTGAAACAAATAACACTTTTCCGGTATTGATTACTCCATTGCGAGATATAGAGAGACATGGAGCTGAGCTATTCACCCGAAATATATTTAGAATGTTCCATGATGAAATCTTAGAAGAGGGGAAGTTGAATGTGAAGGAGGTGTTCCCTTTGCCGAATGGTCAGAAATGCTACTATATTCATAAGTACAAAATGAAGGATAGATCATGGTTAGTAACACACAGTCCAGTGGATGCTGCAATGAGATGTTCTTGCATGAAGTTTGAGTCGTTGGGCCTACCTTGCTGTCACATGATATGTGTTATGAAAGCCGAAAATTTAACGCAAATTCCCCCAACTTGTGTGCTGCATAGATAGACAAGGGCTGCAAGCAAGGATGGCCAGCAATGGCCTCAACCCTCAATTGATAGCACTACAACACAGACGGCCCGGTATGGGATATTGAGTTCTTCGTACAATGAAATGTGTTTCTATGCCTCGCAATCAACGGAAGGTTTCAAAGAGGCTAGGGATGCATGTCTTCCGATGACAAGCCGGATGAAGGAGTTATATGAGAGGAATCTGAGCGATGGAAATGGAGACAAAGGGTAACATTCATTCCCTCGACAATTTGGAATAGAAGATCCTGATGTTGTGAAGACAAAAGGGAACCCAGGACGGGCCTTGTCCAACTATCGAAGACCAAGAAAATGTGGGAATTGCAAATGCATTGGGCACACAAAGCGAACGTGTCCTAAGGTTCGGTTTAGCCGAATAGTGGATAGTAACTCAGATGCAAATACAACCCACATAACTGACTGTGAGTACAATGCGGAGTCATTGCCCATTCGCTGCAAAATTGGGTTGGTGGATCCAAGTACACCGCACATTAAGCAACGGTGACTATTTTTCGATGCTTCTCCTGATTCCAAGCAGCCTGTGGGCCAATACAGTAGTGTTGAAGCAACAGTGTGCAAAAATGATTCGACCACAATTGATGAGGTGAATCAGGTAATTGTATAATTTGTATGATTTACTTATTCCCTTAATTTATTAGGTAGACAGTACTAGCTATTACGTACAATGCCAGGAAATGGCACAACGTTACTTATGTACAAGGCCACGAGTTGTAAATTTCCCATACAATGCCAGTGATGTTGTCATTTGTGTTTGCAGTGACTTGTCATTTTGAAAACTAATTGAAGGTGAGATATATATGGGTTGTCTGTGTATTGTTTTGGGTGGGAAATTGGCTTATGTCTGTATTCCAAGATTCCTATTGCGGGTTGCTTGTTTCTGTTCCATATTTGGTTGGATCTAACTGAAGGGTTTTTTGCGGTGTGGTTTATCAACTAACGATGTGTTTGGCTTCGTATTGATTTGTTATGACTTGTTTCGGTAAGTTAGTATTATATTTCGAGTAAAATACGAATTTTGTCCATGTGGGTTTGTAAAATTACATACCAGCACATGCATTTTGTATATAACCCAAGTGGTAGTTAATTTTGGGTGTTACTTAGAGAAAGTAACCCAACGAACTCGTTACTTTATCTCCATGCCGATTGCTATATGAATTACGAGTTACGAACAGGAGTTGTGAAATAACTATGAAAGTGATGGGTTTATTGTTAGTAAAATTATGGTGGGCCTATATCGACAGCAGCGAAGCAGTAATTTAAAGTTGACAAGTTAAATAAGAAAATCAAGCAATTTTGGTATTGGTTCGAATGCCTAAAAAGGATGAAGACTTCTTTCGATGAACTGATGGTAACAAACTAGAAAGTGACAAAGTAGAAAGTAGAAAGTAAAAAGTAAGTTGTTGTGTTGTTGTGTTGTTTATAACAAAGTAGAAAGTAGAAGGGAAAAAACTACTCAGAAGTTACAATGTAGAAAGTAAGTTGTTGTGTTGTTGTTCATGTCCTTTCTCTCTGCAAACATTCTGCCCTTTATAGCTATTATTTCCCACGACCCCATGATCTGCCGATTCTGCAACTGCTTCTGTGTAACTTCTGTAACTGCACGGTCATTTTCGTGTCTTGAAACCACATAAAACCTGCACTTGTACCTATTGAAGTGCATATAATTGAAGTTGCCATCTGTGCCCAAGTCTTTTTAGCCTTTCCTCGACAGATACAGACTCCCAATTCATTCATGTTTCCTCTTGGAGGCTGGCCACTAAATCCATGAGCACTGCCAGTAACTGCTCCAACGTGTAAGTCAGGTGGCATGCAAGATTCAATGTTAGTTGATAACCCTTGTCTTCAGGTGGACTTGCCATGTGCCCTCAATTGAATGGAGCAGCTGTTGGCAGGACGTAGGAAAAATAGGTGTAAAGAGGAATTTTTTAAAAATAACCAATCATAATTTAGCTGAAAATATGAGTGAACTTTTTTTTTTT